TTTTCCGAGACAGGGTTTCTCCGTAGCGTTTCGGTTCCTGTCCTGGAACTAGCTCTTGTAGATCAGGCTGGCCTCGAACTCACAGAGATCTGCCTGCCTCTGCCTCCTGAGTGCTGGGATTAAAGGCGTACGCCACCACCGCCCGGCCTGTAGGCTGGTTTTTGTTGCTTTATGTTTCAAAACCACCTATGGGTGAGTACATGTGATAATTGTCTTTCTGGGTCTGGGTTACCTCACTCAAAATAATATTTTCTAGCTCCATCCGTTTTTTTTTTCTGCAAAATTCAAACTGTCGTTATTTTTTTTCTGCTGTGTAGTAGTCCATTGTGTAGATGTACCACATTTTTCTTATCCATTCTTCAGTTGAGGGGCATTTAGGTTGTTTCCAGGTTCTGGCTATGTCAAACAAAGCTGCTGTGAACATGTCCCTGTGGCACAATTGAGCATCCTTTGGATATATACCCAAATGCCTGTAGGATTTGCTGAAGGAGGCAGAGGCAGGAGGATCACGAGTTCGAGGCCAGCCTGGGCTGCACATTTTTTCCAATAAAAATAATGGAGCACAGTCCTAAACAGCTCACATACTGAAGCTCCAGACTTTTGCTGCAGTAGTGGTGATGGGGTATTTGCGCCATCTAGTGTACAGAAGCTTAGTTACTGAAATGATGAAAAATTAATGTACTGTAATTTATTACACAATTTATTTACTGTAATTTATTACACAAGTTCTAAACATTAGGAAAATACTCAAAGAAAATATGTGCACCCGACATCCTAAACAAGTGTTTTATTCTTCTATAAGCTCCCGCGGTCTCTTATTTCATCACATGTTGTATAATGACGCCCTATAGAAAAGTTCTAAGTGGAAGTTGCCTCAGGTTATTCTTTTGTCTGTAAAAGATGAAGTTTAAAACAGAGTGGTAAATTGATACAAAATCAGAAGTAAAATGAATATAACAATTAAAGTAATAAATATATATATATATATATATATATATATATATTAGATAAAAAGTTTTGTAATCTGCCATAGGAACCAACATTTTGGGTTTACTAACACAGGCATTTAAACATCAGGGTATTTATTATAAAATTAACCAATAGGCATCATTAAAAACAATTCTATTCCATAGTGCTAACATTCCATAGCTATAATTCCAGCTTTTGGAAAAATAATAAATAGGCAAAAGGATTGGTACATAGAAGGATGTAGGCACAACTATTGCAGTAAAATATTAAACATGGGCACTTATTTTCACTGTAAACTCAAACTTTTTCTATATTATTGAACTTCTCTGTTAGAAACAAAAAACAAAAATGTTTCTCCTATAAAGCTTAATAAGAAAGCACAGCACCTCGAATTTACTTCCCAACCCCAAACCATAAGAAATGGTTAAAAAACATAAGCTCCCCTGTTTTGCAAAACTTATGTTCACTTTGTGTTCTGCCACTTTCAGATACCTTGGAAAAGTTATTAGGTGTTTAAATCTCCATGCCCTTAACCAGAAGATGATACTGAAAAATAAATAAATGCAAACAAGAGGTACAAATTTAGATATTAATTTTCTTCCCACTTTCAATATACTATCCTTAGTTAATCTATTGAAAAGTAAATGTAATAGAACACACAAATATTTTGTTAATTTTAAGTTTAAATTATATAATACACGTTTATATTATATGTAATATACACATATTATATAACATACACATAGTTTAATGAATAAACTATGAATATGGTATATTACTAATTACTATTCAATCACATCAAGACACAGAGAATTCCCAGCACCCCAGAAGACCCCCACTTATCTTTTCCAAATAGAACAAGTTATCCTCAAAGCTATACTTATATTTTTGATCAACATTGTTTCACATGTGTATGACTGCATGATACATACAGTGTTGTTCTTAGACTTTATGTTGATATTAATAATCCTAGAATATCTGATACAACATTATGGTTTTATATCCATTATCTGAATATGTTTTATGTTGATGTAATATTTACAACATGCCTGTCAATATTTATTAATTCGACTGCTTAGTTCTTACTTTCTAATTCTTAATTTAAGCCACATTGTCACAATCTTTACCACAAATGAAATTGAGGTCACCTGCACACACATCTCTTGGATATACTTTCAGTGATGTAATTGCTAACTTAATGTGGACATTGTATTTGTTCTGTCTCCAAACCAATATATTGAAGCAGAGATGGGTCATAGGAATGGAATTAAGTTTAGATGAGGTTATGAGAATAGAGTCCTAAAAAAGAAATAAGAAAATATGCGTTGAAATCTGTCTCATTCCTTTATTATTTGCCTCTCTGTTCTCCCACCCCACCTCCCACCCCCTACCTGCTGGGAACAAAGAACATTCCTTGTTAGGAATACATTGTGTTTAGGCTTCCCAACCTGTTGACTTTTTGTCCTATCAGGCCTCATTGACTAAGACAGAGCACACGTTTTCAGCTTCAGTCTGAGTTGTGGCTTTGGTCCCCTTTCTTGTGATTTCTCCAACTTTCGTCATGTTAGCCATTCTTTTCTTTTTAAAAAAAAAATTATTCTATACATACATTAAATCTTGACTGCAGTTTCCTCTAGCTCCACTCCACCCAGCCCTCCCCTCCTCATTCCTCACAGCTTCCCTCTCCCCTAGATGTATACCTCCAGCTCCAAAAATCAAACAAACAAACAAAAAACACCAGCAGGTTTACCAAGGATATCAAGTGAACATGCATAACAATTTACAATAAGACTAGGCACAATCCCTCACTCATATCAGGACTGGACAACATGACCCAGTAGAAGGAAAAGGGTCCCAAGCACAGGCAAAGTAGTCAGAGATATCCCCCAACTCCTGCTAACACCAAGACACACACCCATAGCATATATGTAGAGGATCTATGTAGAGGATATATGTAGAGGAACATACCAGTAAGACCACTCTCTGTGAGCCCTGTGTTTCACTAACAGTTCTTAATATTCTACTTTCCCCCAAATGTGAAGCTTTTAAAAATTGTCTTTGTTGACAACACCATTTGCTTTTATATTTAAGGTTTGTTATATCTATGTAAATAAGTATTTCAAATATTGGTTTGTTTGTATTGTAGATTGTAAAGGTCCTCCACCAAAAGAAAATACAGAAATTCTAACAGGTTCTTGGTCTGAACAATCATATCCAGAAAACACTCAGGCTACCTACAAATGTCGCCCTGGATACCGAACACTTGGGACCATTGTTAAAGCTTGCAGGCAGGGAAAATGGGTGGCTTTACACCCATCCAGGAAATGTCAGAGTAAGTACTCCATGTATGAGATCCTTATGACTAATTTTATTTTAGAATAGATGAAATGTTTTGTGTTGTAACACTATAAAATTATATCCCTATTGTAACTAAAATGTATAAAAGTCATTTTAAAATGTAGTAATCCTCCAAAATTAAAAATGGAAGTAGGCAGTTAACTTCAAATTAAAAATACTCTTTGCTGTTTTAAGTTTCCTTCTATTCAATGATATTCAAATGACCCCCCCCTCCAACTCCTAGATAAGGTATGTTCCATTGACTGTATTCTAATACTGAATCTTTATTTTAATTTTAGAAAAGCCATGTGGGCATCCTGGAGACACACCCTTTGGGTCCTTTAGGCTGGAAGTTGGAAGTGGATTTGAGTTTGGTGCAAAGGTTGTTTATACCTGCAATGAGGGGTATGTTGTCAATATTAAGGCTTGTCATTGAAATTGCAAGTAGAAAGTCTACAAGTTTGTGCTTTAATGAGACTATTTTTTTCTATCAACATTTAAAGAATAACATACATAAAGCTATGAATGAGTAATTTTATTTGAATTCCATACTATCTTCATAGCATTAAAAAGTCAGGTGAGTTATGATTATTCTGGAACAGTGTTGAAATAAGGGGGTGTTAAGTCAGTACACACAAAAGTGTTCAGCTGACAATACCTTACTAAATTCCATTATTTGAACAATATTATGTGAAATGGGAAAATTTTTATATAGTGGGGAAATAGGAATTCTGAAAACAACTATGTTATATGGTAATCCTCCTAAAAAGATTTTACATTATTTAAAGAAAGCAAGACTTTTTATTTTACCTTTTTTATTAAATTATTTATTTTTTACATACAAGCCACAGTTTCCACTCCCTCCTCTACTAAGTTTCCTTACCCACCTTCTTTCTACCCTCCTCCACTCCTCATGAAAGGTAAGGCCTCCCATGAAAGTCAACAAAGCAGAGCATATCAAGTTGATGCAGGACCAAGCTGCCCCCAACCCAGCATCAAGGCTGAGTGAAGCACCCACCATAGCAAATAGGTTCCAAAAAGCCAGCTCCTGCACCAGGATAGATCCTGGTCGTATTGCTGGGCCCCACAAACAGACCAAGAAAGCAAGACTTTTACTTGTGAGTAAAATGTCTCTCTCCTGAGAGCTTTTTTAAAGCTTAGTAGTATGCAAATTATTTTTATTTATGGGACCCAAAGGCTATTTTTTTTCAGAATCTTTGACTCTATCCTCTGACCAGCTACTGGGTATCAAGGCTGAAATCATTACTGAGTCTTCTATAATTTTTCTCTAATGCTACAGATTATTTTAAGAGTCCATATGGGAAAATTAATAACTCTATAGTATTATGAAAAATAAGTATAAATAAAATTAAACATTGTGAATGGAATTTTTTCATTGTCCATTCTTTATTTCCTAACTTAAAGAAATAAACCATTAACAGTTTAAAGTTTTCAGATTTATAATTAGCTCTAAAACATTCCCAAACTCAAATACTTAATGTTCATAAACTATTAACTCATTCCTATCCCTCTCTGACAAAAGTGGAAACTTCATATCAGCATCATGGCATAGGCAGGGGATATAAATATGACCTACATTAGAAACCCTTAAAAAAATTCTGAAGTACTGAATATTCTCATCAGATACTCATTTCTTATTTATCGTCTCCTTGCCCATGACCTGAAGGAGATTTTTCAAACTCATTTTTATCCCAATTTTCATTCATCACCGCTCACCTTTTTGCACAAAACCAATAAGGATTGCCTTGGCATGAGTTTTTCGGGCTGTTCCGCTGTTCACCTTTGAGATATTACATCTCAGGCTAGCCTCCCTTATTTGGGTTTCACACTTGTGCTGAAAATGGAAATCAAAATTCATATGTTTTCTTCATTTGATTTCCACAGTCTCAGAACTTATATTTACAATTTGGTGAAGAAATGAACTGGATATTTTCCTCTGACTCTGGCTCTCTGGAGCTCATTATTGCCTCTTTCAGCTTATCTGTATCAAGAGCAAACACTGATAGAACCCTGTTGTGTCAGTAACTTACATATTGAGTTTCAATCACCAACAGAAATCTGTTGGTCAAGTTACTGACACTTATCAATGAAAGTTCTCACACCATGTAGGATCAGTAGGTAAAGTAGTTCACATTAATTTAAATTTTTATGGGAGAATACTTTGTCTATTTTTTTAACCTAGAACTGAAAACTAAGAGTAGAACAGGTTTATTGCATCCCTGTTTATTGCTCAACCTTTTGAGTCCTATATGTCTGTCTTCATTTTCTCTGTTGGGTGTAGGTTTAGTTACATATTATTCAGCAGAATGATTGCTTATGAACAATCATTTTATTGTTCTTCATGTAGGTGATTTTGAGATGGCATCACAAAAAGTTTTTTCTGTATGGATCTATATGGTCAACCATTATCTCCTCCTTTCCCCTCCCTCCACAAACATTGGCCCAGGAAAGTCTTTTGTAGAATTTTGCAGAATGTCTGAAGGAGCATAACATATTGGGTTGGCTCTGCTGTGAATAGAAAGCCTTTACTAGGAACTTTGTTTTGCTGTCAGAAGAGGGCACATAAGGGAGCTAGAGTATCACATTTATAGTCAATTATTCAATCTCCTCTACAGCAAGCATTAAGTAAACCCTAAATCCAAGCTCCTTGACTAATGTATTCTGCTTAAGTGTTTTCTTTCTATTAAGAATTAGGAACAAGATGAGAATAATACAAGAAAGAGAAATATTTTTTTCCTTAAAAAGTTCTTACTGGAGGACAACCGTAACAGTCAAGAGCTTAAAAGTACGTAAAAATACATGATGTCTCAACACATTTTTTTGGTTTCTGTTTTTAGGTATCAGCTGTTAGGTGAGATTGATTACCGTGAATGTGATGCAGATGGGTGGGTCAATGATATTCCATTATGTGAAGGTAATTAAGAAGCTGTTTTTACATTTATGACTAAACACCTACATTAGATAAGATTTTTTCCACATTTTACAGAAAAATATTATTGAAGTTTATTCTTCAGTATGTCTTACTTATAATATTTTGTAGTTTCTAGTATAAAACAGAAATAGCTGTTTTATTAGAGTACTTCTTTGTATTTCAGTGTACTAAGTACTAAGTCAAGAGGGTGGTAAATTTTTCAGGGCTAATGTAGATTCCTTGGGGTCATGGACTTGACCAACAGCAAACAAGGGTCATCAAAAGAACTCAAACTTTCAGCTGGGCTGTGGTGGAACACTCAGGAGGCAGAGTTAGGTGGATCTCTGTGAGAGTGAGGTCACCCTGATATACAAGAGCTAATTCCAGGAAAGACTCCAAAGCTACAGAGAAACCTGGTCTCCAAAAAAAAAAAAAAAAAAGCAAAACAACAACAATAAAAAAACCTCAAAACTTTCTAACAATATAATAAATATAAAATGAGATTGATATGATTTTTGGTCAATGTACTGATGGTTAGAAATACCAAACCCATTTTTTCCTTTATTTTATAGTTCAAACATTAATAATATGTACAACCATCACCAGCTTGATAAAATATCAGAACTTGAAAGCTGTATTCATGAAGAATATTTCCCATAATAACCGTCCAGTTACAGTGATATAGGCCTCCACAGTGGTACAAAATAGGATTGAAATATCTCTCAGCAGTATGCTGCTATGAAGGCTTTCCCATAGCCTGAAATGTAGGATAAAAAAAAGGAAAAAAAAGTAAGAATTAAGAAAGAACTCAAGCACTGGTTGCCCTTCCAAGGTCCTGAGTTCAATTCCCAGCAACCACTTGGTGTCTCACAACCATCTGTAATGGAACCTGAAGCTCTCTTCTGGTATGCAGACATACATGCAGAGTAGCACACATAAATAATAAATAAATAAATAAATAAATAAATAAATAAATAAATAAAATTTAAAAAGAAAGAACTTTCTTATCTTTTCTTCTTGTTCATATGCAGCACAAACAACAAGAACAGTGAAATACATGTTTTCCTTGTGATTTTAGAGAAATACCTCAGATCTCTAGTTATCATGGAATTAGCAGAGGTCTATCTAAATGCTAGGTCATATTTCCATAGTAAGTAATAAAGGAAAGAAAATCCAGTGGGGTTAAAATGAGAGAGAGAGAATGTGGTCACACTGGACATTCTCATGCCTGGAAAAATATAGAAATTTAATGTAAGGAAATCAGAAGTTGTTCCAGGGAGCAAGCATTCATATGCTTGTTTAAAACTGAGCTTTGGACCATGGAATGACCTGTTGAGTCAATATCTTTGGGTAATAAGACAAGGAAACATGCCTAGAATATCTCCTGCATCCAAAGTTTCTTCAGGAAACATAAACTTTGAATGCCTTCACAATAGAGAAATTTTAAGAAAAATAAAAATGTGAATACCGAGGTTGAAAGGAAAGGAAAATTAAGAACAATTTCTCCATCAGAAGAAATACCTTAAAATTTATTGCTTTTCCATCTTATTAAAATGCTCTGTGGCATTCCAATGTCACGTTGTTCTGAAGCATCAGTAAAACATTTGTATGTGATTGTTCCAGAGCTCATATTTTTTAATAGTTAAGGAGACATTTACAATCATGAAAATTCAAACTATCATTTGAAGTTATAGTTTTCTCTTCCCATTCCCACAGAAAATGATAACCAGACTACTTATGTTAAATGATCTTTATCTCTTGCAAACAATCATAAATATTTCTAAAACATCTAAGTAAGTTCCTACAGGTTTATCTTGCTGGTGTTTTATTCATATACACATATAGAAGCTTTCAGTTCCGTCAGTAAAAATGGTGCCTGTATTTTCAGTTGTTAAGTGCTTGCCAGTGACAGACCCGGAAAATGGAAGAATTGTGAGTGGTGCATTGGATCCAGACCAGGAATATTCCTTTGGACATGTGGTGCGCTTTGAATGTAATGCAGGCTTCAAGGTTGAAGGACAGAAAGAAATGCACTGTTCAGACAATGGCCTATGGAGCAATGAGAAGCCCAGATGTGTGGGTAAGATATACATACTTGTCTGCTTGGTATTTGAAAACTTTAGCTATCCTTAAGAAAAATGTTTATTTCTTTTTAAGTATGTTTTTATTTAAAACAGAATTACTTCACTCTGATGCTTATTAATCATGACTGTTTCTCTATAATTGACTGAAGGTCTTTTTTTATAACTGTAGCTTCATGACTTGGTTAATATGTAAGCAAAGGTCACTATCTGGTGTTGCTATTCACAGTCTAACTCAGCATTTCTGTTCTCTGGTGTATTAGAGAAGAATTTTATGAAGGTTTTGGAATCCAATGGTTTACTATATGTTTCTAATCATGCTCCATGATGGCATTCTAATTTTAATTAATATTATTAGGAAGAGTTCTATATTTGTTGCAGGTTTTAATTTTTAAGACATTAATTACAATTTTAATTAATGTTGTTAAGAATGGCGCACGCCTTTAATCCCAGCACTCAGAAGGCAGAGGCAGGTGATCTCTGTGAGTTTGAGACCAGCCTGGTCTACAGAGCTAGTTCCAGGACAGGCTCCAAAGCCACAGAGAAACCCTGTCTCAAAAAACCAGAAAAAAAAAAGAAGAAGAAGAAGTGATATTACACACACACTCATGCACACACAAACACATATTTGCAAGTTTACTGTCAGTTTTATTTATCTGAATTGAATTCACTAAATAAAACTTTGACTTATAATAAACTGATACAATAAATTGTGAATCAATATTTCTTTGATTTTTGTTTCTCTTTTTTCTTTTTCTTTCTTTTTTCTCTTTGTTCTTTGTTTATTTGGTTTTGAAACAGCCTCTCACAAAGACAGCAATGGCTGGTCTGAACTTGATATGCAATCCATGTAGGTTGTACCTTAAAGTAATTTTCCTGAAGCTGCCTTATGAATATTGAGAGCATAGGCACATGGCACCATACCTTGAAGGCATAAGTTACAAACAATCCCACACCAGTTTGGAATTATGATTAATAGAATGGTTATTTATTTAAAGGGAAAAAACTTACAGATCACCATCCCAGACAATAGCCCTCTGCATGATCAGGAAAGGAGTCTAGTAGCTGGAAGTGGAGCCGGAAGCAAGAGAGCGAGCACACAGCTACAACTGCTTTTTGAAGCAAATGAGACCATGCCCTAGTGGGCTGGTATCTTTAAGTCTATTGGCTAAAGGAGCAGAAGCATCTTCTACAGCACCTCCCCCTTTGTTTAAGTAAGAGACTTCTAAACTTACTATGAAATTATATACAATAAGAACAAATATCCTATTCTAACTAGCTTAAGTCTTGTATAATAAATAACTTGGCCAAGTCATGAGAGGAAAGTAACTACATTTATGTAGTCTTCAACTCCACTGAAGATCTGAGAAGGGAAATAATGTTACCTGAGTAAATAGGAAGTGCAATCTAACAACTTTCAAAACATGCAACAAATCACAGAGACAACTGGCTACCTGGACAATCACCCAAAGTCACGTTTGCAGCATTGAAGCAACCAATTTTGGCCAAGGCCTAACATAACTGACATACCATTTTCAAAGGTAAGAAATTTTTCAAAACTATCTTACCCTGTCTTGGCAGGATATAACAGTTCTGTTTTATCCATTTACAGATACTCTGTATCTTTTTCAGTGGTTAAGGTATGGGCATTTCTTTGCCCAAAGGCCAGTTCTGCCAAGAAGAAAGGCTCTAGGTGGAGTGCCTTTGGTTCTCAACATTTTCTCTGGAATAGATCCATGTTGCCAGGGGCGATTGTGTCTCACTACCACAGAACACTGAGTTAGATTAAAGACCATATTCTACAGCTCTCTGAAGAGGTTGAAGATTATCTATCTATACTGAATATATACTGAATCTATGTATCTAAAGAACCTGATTAATCTAATTATAACTGACAAACATAGATGATCATTGATCTATATAATTCTCAATACCTATCTAACTTAAAGACTAAGACAATAAACAACTGTGCAATAAATGAGGAAAATGACCTCCAAATGTAAACAATGTACAAGTATACATTGCAATATGGTAACTATATATCAACACATACAATATATAAATATCTTAATCAGAGGTAAAAATGTATACTGCAATATGGTAAATATTTATCAATACTATATATATATGTATATATCAATACATAAAAATGTTTTAAACAGAGGTAGAAGCATGCACGCATACAATAGTCAATATAATTTAACTTTATATCAATATACAAAATCAATACCAATAAAATTGTCTAAAAAACAATAACTATCATCCAATTATCCCTTTTTTTCCAAAAAGATCCCTAGGCTTATAAAATTCCTCCCCCAACCCTCAACCATATACTTATTATAATCAACCCTAAATGATGTCCCTAAACCTAGGGGCAAACTTTACTGGGAGAGGAGACGTCATCCTCTAGAATAACTTCCAGCTGTCAAGGGGGTGATGTTCTTTCTGGGGGATCCTGTGAAAGTAAAATGATGGTTAAATTTCAAGATCAATGTCTTTTAAAATTGCAAATAGTCTCTGAGTATTTTGTGGAGGTCTGGCCAGAATGTTGTACAAGATGTGCACCATTTCAGCTAACCAAGTTGGGATCGTCTTGTGCAGCTGGTACCCAAAACAGGTCTTGTAGTAGTGCTATCAGTATCATGATATCATATTAACCAGGTGGAGTTATTGTTATAGGGCCCCATCTTCTTCCTGGAAACTTCAGAAATTACTGCAGAAAAATTCATTGTTCTTAAACATTATATATATATATATATATACATATATATATTCAATGAAAGGTATGATAAAGACAAAAATAGATATGAAGAAAAACAAAGATGTTTTCTAAAATCTTTTTTCTTAATGTCCCATATCAAATGGCACTTGACATGAGATAGAAACTCTGGGTTTTTTTCTTTTTTTTTTTTTTAAATCACAAATCACATGCCTTTATTTGGAATCTGAATATTTGCTGGTATATGCATGTTCAACTATATGTAATCTGTATGCACAAGCATACATACATTTGATCAGAAATAGAGACAGAATACCTTTGTGTAAAACCTTAGCAAATTACATCTATTTGGTGATATTCCCTCTTAAACAGTGCCTGATATGTAATGGACATAAAGCTGGAGTGACCAAGTGATTCACTCAGAAGTCTTTTTCCCCTTTGAAAATCCCAAGTTCTGAAGTATTTGGTAGTCTTCAATTGAGCATTCATTCTCTCCCTCCAGAAATATTTCTTAATTGGGTATAATCAGATGGCCAGATCCCTTCTTTTGTCGACCAGATCTCTTCTTTTGTCTCAACAATCAGTGGTAAATAATACATTCTGAGAGTGATGGTGAAGATGCTACCAGGCTTTGGGTTTTTTCTTTTAACAACATGCTTGAATTTAAAGAGGGACAGAGCCATTGTCCAAATCTAAAACCAGCTCTATATATTCATAAGCATATACATACCTATACATACATATATATAAATATATACATTGTATCATTTGTACTTACTAACCATATTGTATGTTCTTGATGATCCTTATTGGATAGTTATTTTTCTACCTGTCATCATCCAAACATCAGCAGTTTCTTGAATTTTTGAAGATGAGTATTTTCCTGCAAAGACAAGAACAGGACCCTGCCCCCATCCCAAATGCTTTTGTTACCACCTGTATGGTTATCACCAGTGTGGATGAGCTGTCATTTCTCTGTTTCAATAGGTTTCTCCTTTTCAAAGTGAATCTTTATTAATTTTGATGGTATCCATATTTTTTCATCTCCTGTGGAAACAAGAGCAAAACACCTTCCCCAACTAGTATTTCTCCTGGTTGCCATTGTGAAATCAACAAATCTTTGAAATATACTGGTAGATTCAATTCAGAAGTTTTTTCCATTATCCAATGCCTCTCTGGTGCTTTGTTCCTTTCTCATTAGTGTTAAGAAAAATCAAAGTTAATAAAGCATTATACAATCTATTTTTCAGGGTATTTTATGTCCTTTTCTGTTTGTTCAGCATAACCTTTATAGTACAATTTGATCTTTCTATAACTGCCTGGCTTGTAGGATTATTTGGTATATCTGTACTGTACTTTATAATATAATAAGCAAAAAACTGTTTTCATTCTCTTAGATACATATGCTGGACCATTGTCTGCCTTTATTTGTGCAGGTATACCCATGATGCCCATAACTTCCAATAAATGTGTGATTACCGAATCAGCCTTTTCTGAGCTCAGGGCAGTTGCCCATTGAAAACCTGAATACGTGTCTATGGTGTGGTGTACATATTTTAATTTACCAAATTCCATAAAGTGGAACACATCCATCTGCCAGATTTTATTCCTTAGAGTACCCTTTGGGTTACTTCCTGCAGGCAAGAGTGTTTGATTATATAAAGAACTATAGGACACCTCTTTATAATTTCCTTAGCTTGTTGCCATGTAATAGAAAACTTTCTTTAAACCTTTACTATTGACATGATGTTTTTTATAAAATTCTGAGGCCTGCAACATGCTTCCAATCAATAATTGATCAATTTCAGCATTACCTTGTGCTAGAGGACCAGTCAGACCCATATGGGATTGGATGTGTGTTATATACATATGACAAAGCCTATTCCTGATTATGTCTTGTACCTGGATAAACAATGAAGTCAATTCTGTATCATATTATATAAATTCAACAGTTTCAATATGCAAGATAACTCTTTCTGCATATTGTGAATCCATAACAATATTAAGAGGTTCTTTAAAATCCCTTTGCACCACAAGAATGGCATATAATTCTGCCTTCTAGACAGAATTATAAGGGCTTTCTTCCACCTTACTCAATACTTCTGATTTGTAACCTGTTTTCCCTGATTTATTTGCATCAGTATAAAATGTACAGGCTCCAGTTATTGGTGCATCACATACAATTCAAGGAAGAATCCAAGAAGTTCTCTTTATAAGGTTAAGTCTATCACTTTTGGGATAGTTGCTATTAATTTCTCAAAAAAAATTAGCACAAGCTCT